TCGAGCAGACTGGACAGGGCTTTATCCACCTCCATTCGACCTCCCCCTTCTTTAAAAAATGGTATTTAAAAGTTACAACACTGGCTGAGATTTTCATGATTTCCCCTTCTTTTACATTACAATTTTTTTCTCTTTTTTTATATTACCCTTCTCTGAAGCTCTGACAAAGAACTTTTGTTCTAGGTGGATTTTACAAAGGAGGCGCTCCCACCACACATGTGGTCCTTCATGGGTCAGGGGTCGTCCAGCCCAGGAGTGGCTGAGAGGGCGGAATCAAAGGTGCTCTGCAACTTAATATCCTGTTGATGATCTTGTTGAATTTATGAGTCTGTGATACAGAGGATGGTGCCAAAATCCTCTCTCTCTTTTTTTTTTTTTTTTTTTTGGTCTGGTGTGTATAGACAGCTGATTCTACATTTGTTTCTCTCATTTTTACCCCCATTCCCACCCCCTTTCCTTAAGAGGAAATTAAAAATTTAAATGGTAGGGCCACTGAGTGTTTCTGCTTCCCAGTGTAAAGGTCAGTTGTGTTTGCTTGTTTGTTTTGGGCCTCTCCTGACTACTGAGATATACCTGTGTGTGTGTGAGTATGTTGTGTGCACATATACACCGTTTTTATGTGTATATACACGCAAAATTCTGGTCATGCTACAAAAGAAGTCAGTCAACCATTCACAGAGGCCCACAGAATGCAGTGAGGTGCTCAGCGGATGACTGCCCGCGTGTTTGAAGGATCTGCGGTTTTTGAAGACACCCCGAATTCTCTATTGCACTGCGGGGGTGGGGGTGGGGGAATGGACGCCAGCCTGTGCGCCCAGGGGCCGGCCAGGCGGGGCCATCCGCATACAGCAAAGCCCGGACTCGCGCCAGCCCCAGGGCCCGGGTTGGCTCGGTGAGATTCTCCAAGAACAATTTTGGAAAATTTAGAAAGAGGGAACCTATTTGCCCGATGGAGACAGTTGTGGGTCCCGTGGGTCTGACGCTGCCAAGGCTGGCCCTTCCAGAAACCTGTTGAAAAACTGATCACACACAGGGCGCAGAGTGCATCTTAGCCGCTTTTTTCCTTTCGGCCAAGGAGCCCAAATCTACTTTTGAGGCAATGACTCTGAAAGCCTGGGCAGGTTTCTCCCCCTTGCTTTCTTGCTCTCGTCTCTCTCTTCCCTTTTTCTGCCTTAAAAATAAAGAAAGAAAGAATACTGTGTCACGGGGGAAAGGGGTTTTGCGGTTTGTAGAGAAATAAAGCACTTCTAAGAGGGGACGGCGACATGACTTTGAACTTGGCTCAGCTCCTCTGTGTCCTGCAGAGAGAGGAGAACTGGAGCCGGGAAAGAACAGCCAGGAGGGCCCAGCCCGCGGCCTCTCCCGCGGGAATTAAGGAGTCGGCCCCACCACCCGGCCGCGCGCGGCCCCGGGCATCCAGCGCCGGCGAGCGCCGGGCCGCGCCAGGCCGAACCCTGGACGCTGCAGAAGGGGAATTAAAGCGAACGGAGAGAATGGGGCAGAGAGGAGAGGGACAGACGACTGGGGAGGAGGTGAGAAAGTGGGAAAGGAGGAAAACTTGCAGTCTGGTGGCTTGAAAAGGAGGGAAGCGAGGTTTCTAGATGTGAAGGAAGACCACTCTCTAAGAAAATATTTTGTTTAGTCAGTATTTTTGGAGTAAGCTCTTTCAATGACTCCTCAGCCCTATATAAATAGATGAATGAAGTAAACAAGTGTGAAAGCCTCTATACTGGGTTTTTTGTTTTTTGTTTTTTTGTTTTTTTTTTTAATTGATACAATGCAGCAGGACAGCCTTTCTCCTTGGAGACTTTTCTCTTTTCTCTGTCTCTCCCAGTCTAATGCCCTCTCTGCTTAGGGATACAGTTTGGCATTTGCCCCCCACCCCCACCCCGAGGTGTGTGGAAATGAGGAACATTTCCTCCTTTCGGGTAAGGGGAGAATCTCCAGCTTCCAGACAAAAATCTTGGGCTTTCAGACAAGATGACCCGGGTTTCCCCCCTTCTTGCCCTTCTCCAACGGCAATGGGGTGGGGGCGGCAGGAGGACCCAGGGCACCTCCGGGAAGGGGCTTCGGCCAGCTCCGACCTTCAGAAGCCCGCTTAAGCCGAGAGTGGCAGCCGGTGACGGCCGACAGAGCCCGGGTTCTCCCAGCAATAGCGAGCTAGAGCTGTCTTCCCGCGTTTTTGTTGATTTCATTTCAACGTGAAAATTTTAAATGCATGTTGATTATCTTCTCCTATTTGAATTTTATTCCAACTCTCAGAGATTTGTGAATAAAAGCGGTTCTCTAGCCAACTAAGCGAAGAAAGGCGCTGGCTTCAGGCCTTTCATTCACACCTCTGCAGCCTCCGGGCCCGGCGTACCCTCTCCGGTTACCTCTGGGAGTGCCGGCTTTCGGCAGCGGGGCAGGAAATGTCCCCAACGGCCAACCGGGAACCCGGGAGTGAGGGGGAGCGGCTGTAGCCCCAGAGCCGCGAGGCGGGTCTGGCGCGGCACTGGGAGCTGCCCGGCCCCGCCACCTCCCGAAGGAGGGGGTGGAGGTGTTCCCAGGTCCTGCAGAAGGAGTGGTAAATATCTTCTAGAAGGTTTAAGCCCTACCAGTCTGGAGGTTTCTTCTCTGGAGGCCCTGAGCCTGACCCTCGGCCCAGCTCCAGCCCGAGCCTTGCTTCGCCGCGCGCCTCCGGGGTCCCCATACGTCCCACCCCACTGCGGCGGCGGCCGGGGCATCTGGGCATCCACCCCGAGGGTAACACTGCCTTTAAACGACTTCAATCAACCCCCCCTCCCTCACGGGGGCCGCTGCCCAGTGTTTACTGCTGTAATCGGAGCAGGACGCGAGCGGCGGGGGGAGCGGAGGGCGCTGAGCCGCGGGTGGGGGGCCACCGCCAGGCAGGGGGCGGTGTTTGGGTGAGTGTCCAGAGAGTAGGAGAAAGGGGCATGTCTGCCTCTCCCGAGGCCCACCATCCAGCACCTGTGTTTTCAGTGCCACAGAGTAAGTTTAAAGGAGGGAGGGGGGAGTAGCTAGGGAGAGTGCCAACCGACGCGGGGCCGGGTCCCCGGGCCGCTCCCCGCCGCGCGCTCCCGACTGGGTCCGGGGCCTGGAGAGTCCCGGCTCGTGGCACCTCCCGCCCGGCGAACCCGGTTGCTAGCCAAGTTCTCGAGTGGCCGCGGCCGCCTGCTCTCGGTGCCCGCCGGGAGCGGCCCGGGTCCCCGGGGAGTCGGCGGCCTCTGCAGAAGGGCGCGAGTGCAGGGTGCTGTCTCCTCCCCACCCAGCCAAGGGCACGGCGACCTCGCCGCCCGGGCCGGCACTACGCGGGCCTCCCGGCTCCGGGGAGAGCCGCGGCCGGCCGCGAACGGGAGCCGCAGCGCCGGCCGCGCGGGCGAGGAGCTGTAGGCTGGCAGGCCCGGCTGCCTGTGACCAGCCGCGGGATCCGCGGCTGCGAGGGCAGCGGGGAGCTCCGGGAGAACGCGGGAGGAGGGGGCGGACCCGCCGCGGGGCGGGGGCGCCGGATTGACGGGGCCTCGGCGGCCAATGATGGCGGCGGAAGGGCGGGCGGGGCGGGAACCGCCGTTAAAGGGGCTGTGTAACCGGGAGTCCCGGCCTGGAGCGGGAGGGAGAGCAGGAGGGAGAGCGGGAGGGTGGGAGGCCGGGGCGGGAGACGCGGGGGCGAGCGGGGGAGGGGAGAGGAAAAGGAGGAGACAAAAAAATAAAAAATAAATAAAAGGCTGCAGCGTCGGCTGCAGAGCCCACCGAAATAAACAGCGGAGCCCACCGCACCCGTGAAGCGGGGGGAGGGTGAGGTGGGGTGGGGACCTGCTTTGGCTTCTTCGCACTTGCTCGGATCTCGGACTCCGGTCGGTTCTCGGGAGCGCGGCTGCCCGCTCCGGATCCAGCGTCTGAGGCCGACGGGCGAGAGGGAGCGAGCGAGCTAGAGATCACTTTTTTATTGTTGTTATTGTTTTTCAGCCCAGCCTCCCCTCCTCCCCTCCCTCTGCAAGCCTTCTCCCCTCCCACAGCCCCCGTCTCTCCTCCTCCCTCGCCTCCTCCTCCCGCACAACTTAAAGAAAGAGGGAGCGGCGCGGCAGCTTCCTTCATCTGGGGGAATTCGCGGCTGCTGCAAGTTTACTACGCGAGGCGCAGCCAATGCCAAGCGCGGAGGACGAGGAGGGCTAAACACCGCGGCCGCTGCGCCGAACAATACCCGCCGCGCGCGGGGCGGCTCGAGTAGGGCCGCGGGGGAGGAAACGGCCGACCCAGCGCGCCGCGGAGAAGGCGCCCGGCCTCTGCCCGCCGCCCCAGTACCCCCGCCGCGGTCAGGTGGAGCCGTGGGCGCGCCGGGCCGGGGCGCCTAGCGCAGAGCTCGCCTCCGTCCCTCCTCGCCCGCTAGCCTAGCCGGTGCATAGCCGCCGTGCTCGGGCACGGTGGCCCCGCCGCGGCTGTGATTTCATTCTGCCGGCGCGGCTTGGCGCTGCCGGGCCCGGGGTCCGCGGGGCGTGCGAGCGAGTGAGTGTGTGCGTGCGCGCGCGAGTGCGCGCAGGGGTGGGGGCCGCGGCGCTGCGCTCGCCCCCCGTCGGCCCCCCTCTTCACTCTGCTCCCCACACCTCCCTCCCTCTCCCTCCTCCCGCCCGCCCTCCCCTGCCCTGCCCGCCCGCCCCCGCCGCAGCTCCTTTAATACACTTTGGTTCTCCGCCTGGGTTTGGACTCTTCTCCTCCTCCACCTCCTCCTCCTCCTCCTCCCGCGCCTCCTCCGCCGCCGCCTCCTCCTCCTCTTCCTCTCCGCGCCTTCGCTCCGCGCCCGGCCGCCCGAGGCAGATCCAGGCGGCGGCGGAGGCGGCGGGCGCAGGAGCGCGGCTCCCGGGGCTGAAGCCGCCGCCACCACCACCACCGCCGCCTGCGCTCGGAGCCGGGCGGCCGCTGGACGCACCGCGCGCGGGGCGGGAGTGGGAGCGGAGGAGGTGCGGGGCTCGCCGGGGCCGGCGGGGCGGGTGGGCGCGCTGGCCATGCTCCTGGACGCGGGGCCGCAGTTCCCGGCCATCGGGGTGGGCAGCTTCGCGCGCCACCATCACCACTCGGCCGCGGCGGCGGCGGCGGCAGCTGCGGAGATGCAGGACCGCGAACTGAGCCTGGCCGCGGCGCAGAACGGCTTCGTGGACTCGGCGGCCGCGCACATGGGCGCCTTCAAGCTCAACCCCGGCGCGCACGAGCTGTCCCCCGGCCAGAGCTCGGCGTTCACTTCGCAGGGCCCCGGCGCCTACCCCGGCTCTGCCGCGGCTGCCGCTGCAGCCGCGGCGCTTGGGCCCCATGCCGCGCACGTCGGCTCCTACTCTGGGCCGCCTTTCAACTCCACCCGGGACTTCCTGTTCCGCAGCCGCGGCTTCGGGGACTCTGCGCCGGGCGGCGGGCAGCATGGGCTGTTTGGGCCAGGAGCGGGCGGCCTGCACCATGCGCACTCGGACGCGCAGGGCCACCTCCTCTTCCCCGGCCTCCCGGAGCAGCACGGGCCTCACGGCTCGCAGAATGTGCTCAACGGGCAGATGCGCCTGGGGCTGCCCGGCGAGGTGTTCGGGCGCTCGGAGCAGTACCGCCAGGTGGCCAGCCCGCGGACCGACCCCTACTCGGCGGCGCAGCTCCACAACCAGTACGGTCCCATGAATATGAACATGGGTATGAACATGGCAGCGGCCGCGGCCCACCACCACCACCACCACCACCACCCTGGTGCCTTTTTCCGCTACATGCGGCAGCAGTGCATCAAACAGGAGCTCATCTGCAAGTGGATCGACCCCGAGCAGCTGAGCAACCCCAAGAAGAGCTGCAACAAAACTTTCAGCACCATGCACGAGCTGGTGACCCACGTTTCCGTGGAGCACGTCGGCGGCCCGGAACAGAGCAACCACGTCTGCTTCTGGGAGGAGTGTCCGCGCGAGGGCAAGCCCTTCAAGGCCAAATACAAACTGGTCAACCACATCCGCGTGCACACGGGCGAGAAGCCCTTCCCCTGCCCCTTCCCGGGCTGCGGCAAGGTCTTCGCGCGCTCCGAGAACCTCAAGATCCACAAAAGGACCCACACAGGTAAATGCGGGTCGGGACGGGATGGGGCGCGGGGGAGAGAGGCTGTGGTTGGTTGGCTGGGGGAAACCCGCAGACCGCCAGCTCTTGCTCCGGGATGGGAGGTGTTTTTGTGTGTGCGAGACAGCCAGCGGCTTGTTTTTGTTGGAGAAAGAAAGAATATTATCGGGCTGGGTTTTTTCCATGTACGGAAATTGGGTTTTAAATGGTCGGTGTAACATCAAATGTATGTTTTGGGGGGTGTAATCGCTTCGTTTGCTCAGCCCCGGTTAATAATTTCCGTTCTAAATAGAACGCACAAAATAAAACTGCTCTCCAACTCGGTGCCCGGGAATCGAGCCTAGAGAGGATTTTGCCAGCTTGTCTGGATGTGCTTTTCTGCTCCGACTGCGTGTCTGTGTTTGGGTGGCTTATGTGTTTTCCCACTTCTTGTACTCGCGGTCCAAAAGTCCTTCCCGGGACTGTTTTTCCCTTAAATGAATTTGTTGTGAGCCCAAGCGGTAAGGTATTTCTCATTAAAAAAAAAAAGAAGAAGAAAGAAAGAAAAGAAAAGAAAAAAGAAAAAGAGGTGTTTTTAAAGCCCATTTCGGGGTAGATCGCGGGGCTTTACGGTGGTTTCGCAGGAGTTTGTGAAATTCTCTAATGGGTACCAGAGGGTTTGCGATTCCAAACTTGGACCAACAACCCGGTCAAAGAAAACCCCGGGGCATCACGGCCCCGCAGGGCAATCGCCTGAGAAGAGGAAGCTGCAAAAAGAAGGCGCCTCTAGACTCATAGATTATTCATCTCTGACCAGGTCCCAGCCAAAATCGTGCCAGACGATTTCCTAAAAGAAAGCCAAATGTTTTAGCAACTTCCCCCGTCAATATTTACTCCGAAGTGGGGATGCGCCAGCGGCCTATTGTTCTCTTCCGGGAAGGGAGGGAGCCGAGGTGCGAGACAAGCTTTTAACAAGGTTTAAAATTTGAGAAATTTATTTGCATGAAATGCTTTCGAGTCCTGTGTCTGAGCGGATGTCTTTAAAAAACAATTTAGGTGCTAATGGAATTTAACGTTAAATGGTCCCCTTTCCAAGAGGAACGTTGTTTGAGTTCTCACACCTCTAAATGACTCCAAGCATTTGGAATTCTGGCAACAGGATGCAGGGACCGCCAGAAAATTAAACAGGGAGATTTTGAAAGGCTTTGCTGAGCAAACCCCCCCCTCACCAGCCTGTGCCTTTGCCATCACTAGATGCTGTCTTATCTCTAATATTTGCCTTTTTCCTGACCTATTTTAAAATGACTAGAAGTGAGACTAAGAATAACGGTTAATTTAATTTGCAGAATTTTGGATGAAAAATACTGGCTCAGTTATGATCCACAGCCCCATCCCCAAACAACATAGCAACTCCAAATGTAATTGCCTATTGGACCCAGAGACAGACCGACAGCAGCCCAGCAGCCTGTGTGATTTTGATAATGCCCTAAATATTTTGTCATAATAACAGCTTCTCCATGGCGAGACCAATTTGTTAGAAACTGCGAGTCCAAGAGTCCTATGGAAAGGTGGGCAGGGCCGGGTGCTACCTGAGATTCATTATAAATAGGAGGAAATGGGTGTCAGACTGGAAGAAAATTAAAATATGAAGTAAGTAAGCAGGACGGGCAGGTGGGAAGGCGGTTAATTTCATGTTAGTTCTGCCGCAGAAACAATCCGACCTGTGAGGGGGGACCCAGGCTCTTCCAGTTCCTCTTTTCCTTCGGGAAGCGGCCTTGCTCCTTCCAGAGTGGGTGGGGGCTCTGAGCGGCTCTGAGGGGCTCTGGGTGTGCGGGCAGCAAGTCCCGATGTTTTTGTCCACAGGGGAGAAGCCGTTCCAGTGTGAGTTTGAGGGTTGCGACCGGCGCTTCGCCAACAGCAGCGACAGGAAGAAGCACATGCACGTCCACACCTCCGATAAGCCCTATCTGTGCAAGATGTGCGACAAGTCCTACACGCACCCCAGCTCGCTGCGGAAACACATGAAGGTACCACCGGGGAGGCCGGGAGGACTCCGAGGCGGCTGGCCCGCGGTGCGGGGCCGTCCTGGACAACCCTGGCCAACCTGGGAAGGCCAGGGTTCCCTGGGGACCGGACGGCGTGGAAGTAAGGGGGGGGGCTTTCTGGGGGAGCTCCACCCAGGAGCTCGGCCCCACAGCAGCTGCACTCACACCCAGTCCCCTTTGGTCTCCCCTCCCGGCTTTTGTCTTGCAGGTCCATGAGTCCTCCCCCCAGGGCTCGGAGTCCTCTCCGGCTGCCAGCTCGGGCTACGAGTCGTCCACGCCCCCGGGGCTGGTGTCCCCCAGCGCCGAACCCCAGAGCAGTTCTAACCTCTCCCCGGCGGCGGCGGCGGCAGCAGCCGCGGCAGCGGTTTCCGCGGTGCACCGGGGCGGAGGCTCGGGCGGCGGCGGCGGCGCGGGCGGCGGCTCAGGCGGAGGCAGCGGCGGGGGCGGCGGCGGGGCGGGAGGCGGGGGCGGCGGCAGCTCTGGCGGGGCCAGCGGGACAGCCGGGGGCCACAGCGGCCTCTCTTCCAACTTCAATGAATGGTACGTGTGAGAGGCCGGGGCCTCTCTCCCTCTCCCTGTCCCCACCCTGGCGCAGCCCTGCCGGTGGCCAGCGCCGAGGGCACCCTGTGATGTGTTGTTAAAATTATGAATCTGATTTTTATGATGAAAATGATTTTACCAGCAGAAGGATTTTTAAAAGTTTTTTTTAAAAAATAATCTAGGCATGAAAAGCAAAAATATTCCTTCCAGAGTCTCAGAAGCTGAAAACTTAAAATAAGAAATAAAAAAATTAAAAAAATTAAAAACCCATAAAAATATTGAACCAAACACCCATCCTTAACCACCCCCACCCCCCGCCCTCTTTCCTTCTCGCCCAGTTCCCAGTCTTCTGACAAACTGTACATAGAAAACTCCTTCCTTCTCCAAGGTGGTTTTAATGGCTTCTTGATGTATAGACGTTTGTCCATTTGTAACTCTCCGGATTGCGTTCCTTCCTGCCTTTCTTCCCTTCCCCAAGTAATGGGCTTTTTCTTTTTCTCTTTTTAGTTTACCCGGTTTCTTTTTAAGTAATGTGGAAGAAAATGGTTTATTTTGTATTGTGGTATTGAATATTGTGTTCCTTTTTATGAGGCAACTTGATTGTAAACTTCATGCAACTATATAGACTGGAAAAAAACCGAGCCGTGCCAAAGTCTCCCTTCTGTTTCTTCAACACATTCATCCACAGCGCGCACACACACACCACCACCAACGCTTGTGAATGTATTTTTCTGTTAGCTGGGTTTACATGTGATGTTTTAGTGCTTTTGCAAGTTCAATTTGTTAGTTCCTGTATGAAAGATTGTGGGGGAAAATAAACGTCGTGCCGTTAGCTTTTCCGTAATAACACCCTTCCTTCTGTAAATACCCGTTACCATATTTATCCATTTGTAATTAAATTATGGTATTAACTTGCTACAGAGGAAACAATATTTATAAAGAATGTTTCTTAACTATAAATATGTACAATTGTGGGCATAAACTGTTTCAGATTTTTTATTTGAAGGTTTTAAGTGGTTTGATCATTTCTTGTGATATGTTTTGAGAGTAATGCATACAGAAATATAATAAAATGTGTTGAAACTGCATGAACATACTATTTTTTTCTAGCAAAGTTATTAAAGAAAACGGGAAGCTGAGGGTTGATCGGCTGCCTAAATGAATGGGAGGTACCACCTTGCATTCTGGGGAGGAAGGTATGTGTATGCACGGAAACCAGGCCAAACTGCCCCTTTGGCAGAAAGTCTCAAAATTATTTTCTATGTCCTTTGTAGCTGAGAGTGAATTAAATTTTTGGAAGGACCCTGTGAGGAATGGCGGCAGGAACCTTCAGAGTTTCTAATGGCTCCATTATCTGAGGGAATGCCTTTCTTTCAGCTATTTGGACTGGATTTAAGAGCACTAAACATTTCCTTATTCTTTGTTTTCCTCTTCCCTGCCCCCCTTTTCTCTCCCTCCCTCTGAAAAGCTGAGGTATAGTTATTTTTAATTGCACGTTTAAAACTGAGCTGAGTACTTTGTTTTTGAACTTGGCCCAGTGATTAGAGTTTTAAGGGCCCTTTTCTACCAAAAGTTTCTTCTTGAAATTTTAGAGAGCTTGCTCAAGAAATTTTGCTTATCTTCACAAAGCTGTGCACCAAAACTAGGATGTCCAAGAGAAGGTGATAGAGAGTACATTGAATTTAGGAAAGCAATAAACCATTGCCCCAAGACAAAAGAGAATCCCTTCAAGAATTCAGTAAGATAGAATAAGAAAAAGATTAAAATTGTCAGGTGGACGTCCCCTGCAAGAACTGGTCTGGATTTCAAACAAGATACTCTAAGGAAGAAGGTAAAAAATAGTTTTAATGATCAAAGGGTAGGAATAGGGAAAACTATTTAAGTCCCTGAGACATCAAAACATCTCCATCTCTTCCTGAGTATCCTCGAAGAGTCTCTTACAGTCCCTGAGTCACCCCCTCCACCCAAGTACCGCTGAGTAGATGCTGAGGGCGACCGTGGTGACACCTCCCTAGGATGTCCCAGTGAGCTCTCTGGACTCTTCGGGGTGGGGGGGGTGGTGGAGGGAGACCCAGGGCGTGGGTGGCCCGGTGGCCGCTTCTCTCTCCCTCCTCTTCTTCCCCTTCGGCAGCGGCCTAAGCTGCAGGGTCCAGCAGGCTAGGCCAGAGGGCCGTTTGGAGAGCAGGGCAACCCTGACCTCCGGGAGGCCACCTATTCAATGGGGAGGAAAAGACTCCAGCCTGGGGTGTGCATGCCTGTGTGTGTGTGTGTGAGTGTGTGTGTCCCCCAGAGGGTGACAGAGGCCTGGCTCGTCCTCTCCAGCAGCCCAACGAGCTGCCCAAGCACCAGCTCCTGAAGCAATCAACCCCCTATTAAATTCAAATTTATAACCCCTAATAATATTAAGGAAAATTATTAAAATAATTGGCATATGTTACTGATCCTTGGGAGAGTTCATTGAACACATTATAAGCTGTGAGGAAAAGCTTATAGTTTTTCAACCTCCCTCCACCCCCCACCCCAGGCCACCTCCGGAGGAGGAGGGGGCGGAGGAATCAGTTTAAATATTTATCATAACTTGGGCAAGAATGAGATGGTCTATCCTAAATGTTTTAAACTTTTAAAAAAAATTTTTGTGAAAATTATTGGTTTTGAGGCACAGCACCCCCCACCCCCACCCCCGTCTAAAGGGAAGAGTGGCATGGAAGTAGGGGGGCAACTTTAGTATCAACTCAAGGTTTGGGGCTTCTCTTCTCTCGTTGGGCAGAAGAAGGGAAAAAGCAAGAAGAGGGAGACGGCCTCGGTGTGGAGTCGGCTGGCAGGCTTTCCAGCGCTGAGTGTCGGAGAGCTACCGGAGGGCCCTTTCGGCCCGGGGGCGCTGATTCTAGTTTTCAGCAGGAAATAAAAATGGGAAGGCGCCAGGCGTGCGGAGGAAGATCGCAGGCTGGGAGCGGTCTCCCGGGCCGCCCGAGGATGTGAGGAGCGAACCGGGGTCGCTTTCCCGCAAAATGGCTCCCAGTCCTCCCGCCCTTGCGTCCCACCGCTTTGTCCACACTAGTCACCGAGCCGGTGGTGTGGCCCACTCCACGCCTTTCTCTCCCGCCCTTCGAATCCCGGAGACAGGATGGGGGGAGGGGGAGATGGCAAAAGTGGTCGAGGGAGTCAGAATTGCTCGAACTTGCAAAGCGCGAGGGGGGCTGGCGGCCCAAGATTCTGCATCGCCAGGAGGCGTCTGGGCCTGGGGGGTGGGGGATGTATCCGTCTCCCCCCACTGCCTAAATGGACCTGAAGTCTAACCTGCCCTCTTCTGGACTCCAGAACTAGAAAACTGAACCCCATCTTCGCTTCCCTCAGGGAGCCAGAGCTGCGGTATCTGTTTGCTGCCCGCCGGGAGGCCGCACTGGGGCCGGTTTCTGCCGGTCACAGCCATCAACTTGAACTTCAGAGCGGCCAAGCTCGCTCCCTTTGCGCTCCGCTCCATCCACCACCAAATTCCTCCCCTCACGCGAGAGCCGCCTTATCCAGAGGCAGCTGGAGCCCCCTCGGGAGGCCCATCATTATTATTATTAATTATCGTGATCCTCACTGCATTATTAATGACCACAATGATAACTAGCATCGGTATCAGCTTTTCCCGGTTCAATGAAGTCCCCCATGTCCCAGGCGGGGAGGAGGTCACTCTTGGAGCAGAGGCCGGGTTGATTCTGCTCGCGGCGCGAGCAAGGGGAGGCTGCTAAGGTCGAGGCCCCGCGGGACGCGAACGAAGGAAACAGGTCCCAGGCCCTGCACACCCCGTCCCCGCTGTCCCAGCCCCTTTCCTTTCTGCCGGCACCTTCTCTCTTCCTCCTCCTCCCCACCCCCTGTCCCTTTTGTCTTTTTCAGACGGATGTTTTCGGGATCCAATGGTGTATTTGCCGGCGCGAAACTGTGAGGTCTAGGGCAGATTACAGGCTGGACCGGAGTTTCGGGCTTCCCTGTACACTGCGCGGTTCTCCCGCATTCCAGCGGTGGCTGGGAAGGCCTGGGGTTTCCGAGTGATCGGTCGTCCAGCCGAGTAGGCAGGACTGATTGGGGGACTTGTGCTCTGGTCAGTCCCTGGTGAGCGCAATGGTAGCACACCTGGACACGCGGAGGCCCGCCAGGTACTGCCTTGGGACTGGGGTCCTACCCTTCTCTGTATGAGTCCACTGACCTAACCCAAAGGGCGCGGCAGGTCTGTGTCCAAGAGCAATAAAGGCCTCAGAACCTCACCAAGACTTGGTTGAACCGTTGGGTGCCTTTTTACTTAAATGGGCACGTGCCCCAGAAAGCGACCCACGGGATCAAAAATGTGCGTTCAATAAGTACTTGAGGATTGATTGATTATATAGTCTGATACCGCCTTGGTGCTACAAAAACTTGGAGCCCCTGGGCCCACTGCTACCCCCAGCAGACCGCAATGAACGGTTTCTATTTTTAACTGGCAGCTTAGAACAGGGCTGGAGACACATGGCCCTCTTCGCTAACCCCCCTCTCCGTGTCCTCAACAGATCGTTGCAAGGGTTTTATTTTAGGGAAGAATCTAGATCCTTCCAGCCTGGATCGAGTGATGGGGTATAAACCCTCAGGACGTCCCGCTGGGCTCCTGTGAAAGAAAAGGCAGCCTTGGCAGTTTGAACAGGGTGTTACGAATGAGAACTTCTGTAAACCATAACCAGGGCAGCCCAAGGGTTCGAGTTCACGGTCAAGGCTGTGGCACGACAGCGGCCGCAGCTTCCACGCCCCGCTCCGCCCCTGCTCCTCTGCGGCCCAGATCGCGGCCAGGGCACGCGAAGCCAGGGTCCTCCCACTCCCGGCCTGCCCCTCAGGACCCAGTCCGGAACTGTCGGTGCTGGGGCCACCTAGTCGCCCTTGCACGGTTCCCTTTTGTTCCCAGGGCTCCAAGAGCTTTTTCAAGAGGTGACACCTCGCTTCATCTCCAGCCCTGCATACTGCCCTTGTCCCGCATCCCGCAGCCACCAGGCCGGAGCT